ATTTTTGAAATTTTCAGGAATTTTTGCGATTTTTGCAATTTTCAGAAATTTTTGCAATTTTTGCAATTTTCAGGAATTTTTGCTATTTTTGCAATTTTCAGGAATTTTTGCGATTTCTGCAATCTTCAGGCATTTTTGCGATTTTTGAAATTTTCAGGAATTTTTGCGATTTTTGAAATTTTCAGGCATTTTTGCGATTTTTGCAATTTCCATGATTTTTTGCGATTTTCGAAATTTTCAGGAATTTTTGCGATTTATGCAATTTTCAGGAATTTTTGCGATTTTTGCAATTTCCATGATTTTTTGCGATTTTTGAAATTTCCAGGAATTTTTGCGATTTTTGAAATTTTCATGATTTTTTGCGATTTTTGAAATTTTCAGGAATTTTTGCGATTTTTGCAATTTTCAGGAATTTTTACGATTTTTGCAATTTTCAGGAATTTTTGCGATTTTTGCAATTTTCAGGCATTTTTGCGATTTTTGCAATTTTCAGAAATTTTTGCGATTTTTGCAATTTTTGCAATTTTCAGGAATTTTTGCGATTTTTGCAATTTCCATGAATTTTTGCGATTTTTGCAATTTTCAGGAATTTTTACGATTTTTGCAATTTTCAGGAATTTTTGCGATTTTTGCAATTTTCAGGCATTTTTGCGATTTTTGCAATTTTCAGGAATTTTTGCGATTTTTGCAATTTTTGCAATTTTCAGGAATTTGCGATTTTTGCAATTTTCAGGCATTTTTGCGATTTTTGCAATTTCCATGATTTTTTGCGATTTTTGCAATTTTCAGAAATTTTTGCGAATTTTGCAATTTTCAGGAATTCTTGCGATTTTTGCAATTATCAGGCATTTTTGCGATTTTTGCAATTTCCATGATTTTTTGCGATTTGTGAAATTTTCAGGAATTCTTGCGATTTTTGCAATTTTCAAGCATTTTAGCGAATTTTGCAATTTTTAGGAATTTTTGCGATTTTTGCAACTTTCAGGAATTTTTGCGAATTTTGCAATTTTCAGGCATTTTTGCGATATTTGCAATTTTCAGGAATTTTTGCGATTTTTGCAATTTTCAGGAATTTTTGCGATTTTTGCAATTTTCAGGCATTTTTGCGATGTTTGCAATTTTCAGGAATTTTTGCGATTTTTGCAATTTTCAGGAGTTTCTGCGATTTTTGCAATTTTCGGGAATTTTTGCGAATTTTGCAATTTTCAGGCATTTTTGCGATTTTTGCAATTTTCAGGAATTTTTGCGATTTTTGCAATTTTCAGGAATTTTTACGATTTTTGCAATTTTCAGGCATTTTTGCGATTTTTGCAATTTTCAGGCATTTTTGCGATTTTTGCAATTTTCATGATTTTTCGCGATTTTTGCAATTTTCAGGCATTTTTGCGATTTTTGCAATTTTCAGGAATTTTTGCGATTTTTGCAATTTTCGGGAATTTTTGCGAATTTTGCAATTTTCAGGCATTTTTGCGATATTTGCAATTTTCAGGAATTTTTGCGAATTTAGCAATTTTCAGGAATTTTTGCGATTTTTGCAATGTTCAGGAATTTTTGCGATTTTTGCAATTTTCAGGCATTTTTGCGATTTTTGAAATTTTCAGGAATTTTTGCGATTTTTGAAATTTTCAGTCATTTTTGCGATTTTTGCAATTTCCATGATTTTTTGCGATTTTTGAAATTTTCAGGAATTTTTGCGATTTTTGCAATTTTCAGGATTTTTCGCGATTTTTGAAATTTTCAGGAATTTTTGCGATTTTTGCAATTTTCAGAAATTTTTGCAATTTTTGCAATTTTCAGGAATTTTTGCGATTTTTGCAATTTTCAGGAATTTTTGCGATTTCTGCAATCTTCAGGCATTTTTGCGATTTTTGAAATTTTCAGGAATTTTTGCGATTTTTGAAATTTTCAGGCATTTTTGCGATTTTTGCAATTTCCATGATTTTTTGCGATTTTCGAAATTTTCAGGAATTTTTGCGATTTATGCAATTTTCAGGAATTTTTGCGATTTTTGCAATTTCCATGATTTTTTGCGATTTTTGAAATTTCCAGGAATTTTTGCGATTTTTGAAATTTCCATGATTTTTTGCGATTTTTGAAATTTTCAGGAATTTTTGCGATTTTTGCAATTTTTAGGAATTTTCACGATTTTTGCAATTTTCAGGAATTTTTGCGATTTTTGCAATTTTCAGGCATTTTTGCGATTTTTGCAATTTTCAGGAATTTTTGCGATTTTTGCAATTTTTGCAATTTTCAGGAATTTTTGCGATTTTTGCAATTTCCATGATTTTTTGCGATTTTTGCAATTTTCAGGAATTTTTACGATTTTTGCAATTTTCAGGAATTTTTGCGATTTTTGCAATTTTCAGGCATTTTTGCGATTTTTGCAATTTTCAGGAATTTTTGCGATTTTTGCAATTTTTGCAATTTTCAGGAATTTGCGATTTTTGCAATTTTCAGGCATTTTTGCGATTTTTGCAATTTCCATGATTTTTTGCGATTTTTGCAATTTTCAGAAATTTTTGCGATTTTTGCAATTTTCAGGAATTCTTGCGATTTTTGCAATTATCAGGCATTTTTGCGATTTTTGCAATTTCCATGATTTTTTGCGATTTGTGAAATTTTCAGGAATTCTTGCGATTTTTGCAATTTTGAAGCATTTTAGCGAATTTTGCAATTTTTAGGAATTTTTGCGATTTTTGCAACTTTCAGGAATTTTTGCGAATTTTGCAATTTTCAGGCATTTTTGCGATATTTGCAATTTTCAGGAATTTTTGCGATTTTTGCAATTTTCAGGAATTTTTGCGATTTTTGCAATTTTCAGGCATTTTTGCGATGTTTGCAATTTTCAGGAATTTTTGCGATTTTTGCAATTTTCAGGAGTTTCTGCGATTTTGCAATTTTCGGGAATTTTTGCGAATTTTGCAATTTTCAGGCATTTTAGCGATATTTGCAATTTTCAGGAATTTTTGCGATTTTTGCAATTTTCAGGAATTTTTACGATTTTTGCAATTTTCAGGCATTTTTGCGATTTTTGCAATTTTCAGGCATTTTTGCGATATTTGCAATTTTCATGATTTTTCGCGATTTTTGCAATTTTCAGGCATTTTTGCGATTTTTGCAATTTTCAGGAGTTTTTGCGATTTTTGCAATTTTCGGGAATTTTTGCGAATTTTGCAATTTTCAGGCATTTTTGCGATATTTGCAATTTTCAGGAATTTTTGCGAATTTAGCAATTTTCAGGAATTTTTGCGATTTTAGCAATTTTCATGATTTTTTGCGATTTTTGCAATTTTCAGGCATTTTTGCGATGTTTGCAATTTTCAGGAATTTTTGCGATTTTGCAATTTTCAGGAGTTTTTGCGATTTTTGCAATTTTCGGGAATTTTTGCGAATTTTGCAATTTTCAGGCATTTTTGCGATTTATGCAATTTTCAGGAATTTTTGCGATTTTTGCAATTTTCAGGAATTTTTGCGATTTTTGCAATTTTCAGGCATTTTTGCGATTTTTGCAATTTTCAGTCATTTTTGCGATTTTTGCAATTTTCATGATTTTTCGCGATTTTTGCAATTTTCAGGCATTTTTGCGATTTTTGCAATTTTCAAGAATTTTTGCGATTTTGGCAATTTTCATGATTTTTTGCGATTTTTGCAATTTTCAGGCATTTTTGCAATATTTGCAATTTTCAGGAATTTTGCTATTTTCAGGAATTTTTGCGATTTTTCCAATTTTCAGGCATTTTTGCGATTTTTGCAATTTTCAGGCATTTTTGCGATTTTTGCAATTTTCAGGCATTTTCGATTTTTGCAATTTCCAGGCATTTTTGCGATTTTTGCAATTTTCAAGCATTTTTGCGAATTTTGCAATTTTCTGGAATTTTTGCGATTTTAGCAATTTTCATGATTTTTTGCGATTTTTGCAATTTCCAGGCTTTTTTGCGATTTTTGCAATTTTCAGGAATTTTTGCGATTTTTGCAATTTTCAGGAATTTTTTGCGATTTTTGCAATTTTCAGTTATTTTTGCGTTTTTTGCAATCTTCAGGCATTTATGCGATTTTTGCAATTTCAGTCATTTTTGCGATTTTTGCAATTTTCAGGAATCTTTGCAATTTTCGGAATCTTCAGGCGTTTTTGCGATTTTTTCAATTTTTGCAATTTTCAGGGATTCTTGCAATTTCTAGAAATTTCTGCAATTTTTCCGATTTTCAGGAATTTTTGCAATTTTTGCAACTCAGGAAATTTTGCAATTTTCAGGAATTTTTACAATTCTTGCAATTTTTGCAATTTTCAGGAATTTTTGAAAATTGCAGAAATTGCAAATATTCCTGAAAATTGCAAAAATTGCAATAATTCCGAGTTGGACAATGTATATATCACATTATACTTCAATGACACATTTTTTTACACATGAAAGTCAACTAGAATTATGATTTTTTTGTGATTTATCAATATTTAGTGAAAAGAAGGAAGAATATCATTCAGAATAATGGCATATGTAACCTCAAGTAACCTCATTAAAAATAAATCTATTTACATTTGATATCTGGTTTTTGGATTGATCCACCATGGAGGGATTGATCATTGTCTGCTAAATATGAAGAATAAATCTACTGAGCTATGGGATTGATTATTGATTGATTGAATGGCCATCATCTGGTATGATTGTTTACTAAATATGAAAAACTCCCAATAAAAACCATATTTCCTATTGAATTTTCTATTTGAGAATGTGTCATTGAAGTACATCATATATAAAATGTCCAATGACAAAATAAGAAGAGAGATAAGTAGCTGCAAATGCAACCAAGACAAGAGGAAAAAGAAGGTGAAATTTTTTTTTCTTGAAATATCTGGATAAGTAGTGGTTTGTTCACATTTTCATTATCAAATTCATGTTTTTAGACATAAATACTCAAGCAACAGAAAAAAATTTCGAAAAAAAAAACATCACATGATCACTGATTAACAGAGTGAATTCCACTGAAGTCATATATTTTTTTAGTTCCTACATAACACGAATTGCTGGAGAAATTAATGAAAAGCTATTACAACAAGGACAGATTAATGTAAGTGATTTGACTATACAGTATGACCTACCAGCAGATTTTTTGCAACAGCAAGTTATTGAGAAGAATTTGGGAAAAATTATTTTTGGAAAACAAGACAGAAATGATCCAAAGCTGTTCTTCACAGGTACAAAAGTTGAATCTTTGGTAAGTACTTATTTGTATGAAACTATAAAATCCAATTTTTCATTCAAGAATCATTCATTGCCAGAAGTAAAGCCAAAATCAGAGGTGCTCTTGCTGGTTTGACCAAACCCACTTCAGTTTCATTGATTCTTAGTCACATTGACATGAGTGAGAAGCTATTGTTCTCTCTATTTGATCAAACTGCTATGTATGGTAGTTTAACTAGTAAACAGAGTGGAGCTCAGTATGTGCCAAATGTGTATGCTCGATCACAGGTAAATCAAAATAATTAAATCATCATTGATACTCTGTGGCTAGACATGTTTTTGAGTTTATTTTTCCAGAATGATTGGGTAAACCAATTTTACAAGCAGAATGGCTACCTAGAATATGATGCTCTAACACGCCTTGGCATATCAGACCACAAAAACTACATTAAAAAACAGCTGGCAAGTGAAGAATACAAGACACTGAATTCCCTCATAGTATCCAAAAATATACTAGAACGTATGGAAGCTGACATTGAAGAGTGCATATCCAGCAAATCATTCCTTGACATGCAAAGCAATTTGCCTTCAGTTTTCAATCAAAAAGACATAGAAATGGTTTTAGATTTGATATTGACAGGTCAAAGGCTAGCCCAAACGGTTGTGATTGATAGCCATATTATCAGCAAAGCTTTTATGGACAACCTTTCTGATTCATGTGGAAGCATGTTGAATGAGAATGCAAAAGTAATTGTTGAATCTGGTAAATATCAGCAACATCAGATAAGTCTGCAAGCAGCATGTCTGAGGTAGGTAAAACTGTGTGATGTTGGAAACAAAATAACAAAAAAAAATCTGATTTCTGCCTTCATTTTCTCAGCCTAAAAGTTTTTCACTCACCCTATTAATGGACAAATAGTCAAAAAACTTTACATAAGCTACTCTTTACTATGTATTCCTGAGTTTTCACTTATAATACCACCAGTCTTTGGCTCTGGAAAGTTTTCAAAATATTTGTGTTCTGGAAAAAATTTATGGTCTTCAATTGAAGGTATTTGGTGAGAAAATCACACCAAAATTTAAAAAATCCTAGGATATAAGATTGAGCTTAATAAAGTACAAAATACCGACTTTAGTTATGCAAAATATTATTAAGGCAGCTGGTGTTAGTTCAAACTATTATTCTTGAGTAACTTTATTCCTCTGAAGTTGGTAGAAATATATTTTGTTACAAGGAACGCCAGAGTATATGTACTTAGTATCAATACAATTCATATCCATAACATTGTTATGCTACATAAAACACAGTTAACTTAATACACAGAATAATAAAAAATGAGTCAATAATAGTTCAATTTCTTGTATTGTCACAGTTGATAGAAAAATATTTTCTCATAAAAAACTTGGAGTACTATTTAGTATCAATGAAATTTGCTGAGGTAATGTTACTATAGGTTAAATAAAATATAATCAAATTAATATAATTGAACCACTAGTTGAATGAAATAAATGTCAAAAATTTTCCAGTGTAATTTCATGCTCCTCCCTAGGAGGAAGAAAAATATTTCAGAAATTGGTAAAACTGCATTTATCATGAGATGGTTTTTTTTTTCGGTACTTACGTATTTTTGTCTGAAAAACACGAATTTGATAATGAAAATGTGAACAAACCATTATTTGTTAAGATATTTCACTATAAAGAATGATGGAAGTAAGATATGGTGCGCGTATTCGGCCATTATTACGTATTGAAAATTTCAGAATTCTATGATTTCTCTACGTCACAACGAGCGAGACGTTGATTCTACATTTCCCCGTTAGATGGTGATGCTGCTATTGCTGATGTGACGAGTGGAAATAAAATGGCAAATGGCATTTTAGGTACGCGGAACCTATATAACAGTGGGATTATTCAACTCTGAATTAGAAAAATCTGCGACAATTTCAAAACTGACAGATATCATAATTGTGCAATGTCGCCATCTATTAGAAGATCGACGGAACCATTGCTCTCACTTTCCTCGAGAGGTCGAGTAAAATTTCTGAAACAAAAGCACATCAGTAATTTATTACACCATATCTTACTTCCATCATTCTATTAAGTAACAAATTTTAGCTTCTTTTCCGCCTGTCGTCTGGATCGCAATTAGAAAGATTTGCCCTTCTTTTTTCATCATTTGACAATTTATATAATATCCCAATGTATGACACATTTTTTTCTATTATTTGACTCAACTAGAAATATGATTTTCTTGTGATACATCCATATTTAGTAAAAAGAAGGAAGAATATCATTTAAATTAATGGCGTGTGTGATGTCATTCAAAAGCAATCTGTTGACATTTCGTCGCCTGAGAATTAGATTGGTCTATCTCCACGTTTTCCAACAATTGAGTTGTATACATGAAAATGTTCGATAAATAGTGGTTTGTTCACATTTTCATTATCAAATTCGTGTTTTTTTTTTCGAGAAAAAACCCATCGCATAATAAATGCAGTTTTACCCAGAAATTTGTTTAGTTGCTATGGTACAAAAAACAGGCTTTCCATTGGTTGAAAATGTTATGTGTGAAATTTTCACTCTGATTCGATGATGTTTAAGGTCTCAGAAATCTGAGGAGGTGGAGGAAAAAGTTGACAAGCGGGAGGAGAGGAGAAAAAAGGCGGCAGGGGGAAAGAGTGGTGGGGGAACTCAAGGACGCGAGACCAAAACAAAGTCGACGAAAAAGGCCGGTAGAAGCGGAAACAGAAATAACTCAGAAAGTGAACAGTTGGAGGAGTCTGCAAAGAAATCTTCTCTGGAAATCATCAGTTTCAATGAAATTAGAGGTTGTTGATTAGTTTTTCGTCACAAACACATTGGGCCTTTCCAGTATTGTAAAATTCGACCCTTTTTCACTATAATGAAGGGAAGTTATGAATGTTATCAGTGCCGGTTTAGGGTGATTTGCCGCCCTTCAGACTCAAAAATATTCCTGATCTTTCAGGTGTTTGGATTTTTTCCCATGACACATTTTTGAGGTGATAATAAATTCTTTCTATAGGCACGTTGGACGTTTTCTGGTATGGGAGTAAAACGGCAAACTCGCGTCCCGGGTGCCGCGTACCATAAGACCGGCATAATCATATAAGCAGTGTACCTATACCATAGAAGTATAATATAACAAACAGGATGTTGTGGAATAAAATTAAAAACATAATTCTTTAGTGTTCACATAATGAATAACAAGGAAAATGAATAGGTATATGTTAGAATAAAAAAGGAAAATCAAATGATACTCTAGGCGAGTACGTAACTAGGAACATAAAGTAACAATACAAAAATGTGATTTCTTGCTTCAATGCTTATGTATGATTCTCTTCACAAGCTCTATAACTTAGTTTCATTTAGTGGCTCTTGTTTGAGTTGAGACAAAATTGTTACCTCAAAAATTTCGAAAACAAATATTCATATTGGGAAAAAAGATATATCACATTATTCTTCTGTAGAACTTGGACTAAGTCCATAATATTGGAGTTTCTGCTTTAGTCTCTATACGAGAGATTTTTTTTCAGATGTAAAACATTTGTCAGAAACAAATTTGTCTTGATCCTCTACATACTTATTTTGTAGTTTAGTTGCCAATTTGATCAAATGTCCATCCTCTGCTCTCTGCTGACACTATCTTGAACAGAAAGTCAAATGATTAAGAACAAGATTTGTAGGTGGAAGTCCGACGAAAAATTTCAAATCTGCAACTTTGAACAAAACACTGTGTCCGCCATTTTTCTCTCTGGTTTGAACCTTTTGCCGTATTTTTTCTCCTAATTGTGCTTTTCTTGGGATGATTCACTTCTTAACATAAATTTCAGTTTAGGTAGTGTAGTTGTAGTGATCAAATCTTTCGCGTAAAAAATCAAAATATCCAGATAATGACTGATGACAAAAGATGTGCAGTTGTATTGTCATAATAGCCGCCCTGAAGATTTTGCCGCCTGTTGCTATAGCACCCAAAAGACCCCTGGTAAAACCGGCACTGAATGTTATCCTGACCACATATTTATCGAGAAAATCGAAGGACAAATGAAATATTTTATTGAACATGCTATTTCAATACCTATGAATTTAAACGCTACTGAACTGTGATTTCAGTGTCTTGCAATTTGATTGGTTGGAGTTCTGACGGCTGGGAATCACCCCGCTGTTGCCAGATCTCTATAAAATCCTTGAAATGATCCTATGGGTAAGATGGTGCAAGGAATGCAATGATTCGAAATTATAATGTAGTAGGTGATTAGTTGATTGGTAATTCACTGCTGATCACATTTAATCACTCTGAACTCCAAAGTATTTCATTAGTTTCAAGATTAGCTAGGATAACATGTAATGCAGACAATAACAGTAAGGTGCTTTTTATTATACTCAGTTTAGTTTTAGTTATGTTGAAATTTCGTTGACTAATTGGTATAATCAACAAATTGAACAGTGTTAATATATCTCAAGCACCTATTCCCGGAAAATTTAATTGCTAATCTGGCAACTATTTCTACAAGAGAAAGAGATAAAGCAACTGGCGCTAACACAATGTTGCCAAGTTAAAGATATCTCATTCCCCGCATTAATTCACTATTCTTATTTCTCAATATTATTGACAAGAAGGCATTGAACCAAGTAAGCAATTTAGTATTGACTGATTCAGAATGTGTTTCTTTCCCTATGGTAGATAGGTACATAATAGGTGAGTACCTAAACTTGAAAGTACTTCACTGGAAGGGGTTCGAAACTGACTGTATGAATATCTGCACAGTTTTTCAAAACAAAATGAAATTTCACTTACAATTTTGAATAATTAGCTGGGTTATAATTCGTTGAGTTATCTAACACCATCTGTATTAGTGTATTATTTGCTAAAATGAAAAAATCGAGACATGAATATCCGACTATCACAGCTTTTTGTCCAAATTGGCATCATTGTCAAGTCCATTGTGCAGTTTATTGGCACCCTCGAGAAGGTCGTTGATTTTGGCGTTTTCAATAATTTTTCATGCCATAAATTGAAGAAAAAAAATCCCAAAAAAATTACAGTCATAATATTTCCAGTAATATTTCAAGAAATATTTTTTCTAGAAATGACTGGAAAGGCCCATTGTTTTTAGATATTACTATAGTGAATTTTGCTAGGATCTGCTGACAAAAAAATATTGGTTTCTGATATTATTCCAAATCTGTTTGCAATCACATGAGTGGAAGACATTAATTCAAGTATAGCTTCTTGATGGATTTGTCATGCGAAATAAAATTAAAAAATCATGGTACTTTGATTTCTAAAATCAAAATAATCACGGTACTTTGATATCTAGCTGCCCTACTATCGGCGCTGGAAGAAGAAGGCATTGAAGATGACATAATTGATGGCATAGTGAGCCATCTGCTGCCCAAGCTGAATGAGAAGGGCCTGGAAATAGCATCCAACATTTACTCTACCACGGTAGCTGATAGAACGGCTACTCGTCGTCAGACCCACAACGAGCTGCAGAACAAGCTCAATTTGCTCATCGGCGATGTCAGACTCTTCGAGAAAGGTATGTGTACATGCATAGATTGTTATTCCTATGTATTTGTATTTCAGCTTTATCTGCTTCTAGATTCGTCATTCACCTTCCTGTCATACAACTGTGTCTTTCATCTTAATCTCTTATTTATATCATGTTTGTCTTTCTTCTCTCATGTATTTGTATTTCAGCTTTATCTGCTTCTAGATTCGTCATTCACCTTCCTGTCATACAACTGTGTCTTTCATCTCAATCTCCTATTTATATCATGTTTGTCATTCTTCTCTCATGTATTTGTATTTCAGCTTTATCTGCTTCTAGATTCGTCATTCACCTTCCTGTCATACAACTGTGTCTTTCATCTTAATCTCTTATTTATATCATGTTTGTCTTTCTTCTCTCCCGTCTTCATCTCTCATCTTCATTTGTCATATTTATCTTTCATCTCTACCTTCCATCTTTCCTGTATCTTTCACCTTTTGTCTCATCCAAGGTGGTGTAATCACAGACAGTGTTTTATTTCTCCCAAAACGTTTGACCGCAGATTCCGCAATAATGGCATATTAGTTCTCAGTTGTCCGCCAGATGGCGAAACTTTTTACAGATTTCTTTCATGACAGAAAACAGAAAACGGTGCTTACACACCGCTTGCAACAGAAATAATAATATCATAACATTCATAACATAACCTCAAATCGAATGAGATTGAATTTGAAAGTACGAAACTGTAATTTTGGGGAATTTTAATTATCATCAGTTCTACCAACCTTGAATTTTGGTTGAGATTTTGCCATCTAACTATACTTTGTTAGGCTCTAATAACAATTCTTTCACAAACTAATCACTATTTCAACTATTTGAATTTCATATTCACCTAATTTCAACAACAAGTCATTCTTTAAACCCATAATTTAGTTAGCAGTTGAAAACATATAAATTCAGTGAATTTTCCAAAATTCTTCATGTATTCCGTTAATAACACAGGCCAAAGGTAATTTTGCACTTGTCATGCGATTTTTTCTAAAAAAAGTTGATTGGTTTGGTGCAGCAAAGTTCAGATGAGAATAGTCACAACATGATTATACTGGCTGCCAATGACTGACAATTACAGAAACTGCAGAATTCAAAACAATTAAACAGCAAGTTGTGCTAAATATATTTTAATTTGAACCTGCTTTTCTCAACTAAACGGACTTCTAACCTAACATAAAACAGGGAACACAATAAATAGGCACAGAACACAGAACGTTATTTATCGACCAATGGGAACTCACAGTTGAAGTGGTTGCCAAATTTCCGAACAATCTCGATTGCAAGGTTGAAAACATGAAACTCAAAGATTCCATGATGACTAGATTTTCATAATAAGAAGAAATGAGTATTTTCAAAATACTCTCCTCATTTTTACGGCACACATTAATTGTAAAATATTGCTAGTGGCGGAAAAATGTTTGTTTCGTTATCAACACTTTTATACACAAATTTGAACCCAAAAATTCGTGTCAGCGAACAAGAAATCATTAGCTTCACTCACACATTAGAAAATGGTGTGATTAACTATGCACCACATTTCCAAATTACTGGAAAGTTTATTAGAAGATTTATCGCCACACACGATAGATCGCTTCTGTTTATATACACCACGAGTACCACGAATTCCAGACTCTCCCAGAATGCTACTTTTTCATGAATTGTTCTAAGAATTGGCGCGCGAATGTGGCGGAAGTACATCGTGGCAGCAGTCCATTTCTATTGGTTCACGTGATCAATAACAACAACGAACGGAAGGAAGCATGTTTTCAAGTTCGCTGATTTTGCGCCAATATTCAAATTGAATTCGGAATTAAGAATACGAAACATTATTGATTCATTGATTTCTCTTACCCTACAGGTCTGAAGCTCCTCCCTCAGGACTTGCAAGCCCAATTGGTCAAGTACCTCTTGAAGACCTTGTGCACCGACGTGGTCAACGAAATACTGAACTATCTTGCTACTGAACTGAATCTCAACGCGATAGCGGAAAGTTTCAACGTCGAACAACGATCGAAATTCGTCAACGATTTGCCAGCTGAGTACAGGTATGTTTATGTGATTTTGCAAAAATGTCGCATGAGCCTAAACTCTTATTTACACTACCAAGATGAACCATCCTTATGAGAGCAATGATGCCAGAAATGCTATTCAGTAGGTGGCGGTATCTACAGGGTGTTTCAAAAAAACCTAACCCCCTTGCTAGGGTAGGTAGAACATTGCGAAATGAGTTGGGTTTGCTCAGTAAAAAAATGTCGTAACGCCATCCGTTTTCAAGATACAAGGTATTGAAACAATATTTTTTTTACACATTTTTCACGATTATGTTGAAACTACTGGCAACATTGTGATGAAATTTTGTATGGATGTTTCTTGGAATCTGACACATCGCATGCATTTGTTTTTATATCTGACTCTCATAGAGGGCGCTAGTTACACGGTTCGTACCGAGTAGTTTTGAACATAACTTTTTTGAGGTTAGATTTTTTAATCCAAATACGATGTGAACTTGAACATCATCAAAGTACCAAAAAGGTACTCCTGGTAAAACTCGAAACTGTGTTCCGTTTTCGGAATATTTCGATTTGAAAATGATGAAGTGGTAACTGTTGCTGGTATAAGCTATGTATTACAGTGAGTATTATGAAAAATTATCACCTATTTATTGAAAATCGAGAACAACAATACATTTCTGATGCTAAACTCAATGACTTAACAATGAATCACAAGAATAACATCGAAACAGATTTGACTAAGAACATGGATTACACAGTTTTGTTGTATCTTGAGCAGAAAATCTATGCAACATAGGTAAATTCACGTCAAGAGTTGTGAGACATAATTGAACATCACTTAAATGACCTAACAGCTGATCCTCAACTGTTCAGAAGAATAATTCATTCTTAAAAAAAGAATATAGAATCGTGTATTCCTCGAAACATAGGACATTTTGAACACTTACTCTAACTGATTCAACATTTCATGTTTCTATTCAAATATCTCTCAATTTTCCACTTATGATTCTTTGTTCCATCAATAACTTCAGCACAAGAATAATTTTATTGTTTTTGAACCTGAATAAATAGGTAATTGAACTCAATAAAATTCATTTTATACCAGCATCATTACCACTCCATTATTTTCAAATCGAAATATTCCGAAAACGGAACATAGTATCGAGTTTCACCAGGAGTACCTTTTTTGTGTAAAATTGAATGATGTTCAAGTTCATATCATATTTGGGTTGAAAAATCTAACCTCGTAAAAGTTATGCTCTAAACTACTCGGTACGAACCGTGTAACTAGCGCCCTCTATGAGAGTCAGATTCAAAAACAAATTCATGCGATGTGTCAGATTTCAAGAAACATCCATGCAAAATTTCATTATAATGTTGCCAGTACTTTTGGAATAATCGGGAAAAATGTGTAAAAAAATAATTTTTCAACACCTTGTATCATGAAAACGGATGCCGTTACGACATTTTTTCACTGAGCAAACCCAACTTATTTTGCAATGTTCTACCTACCCTAGCAAGGGGGTTAGGTGTTTTTGAAACACCCTGTATAAGCGACAAGGTGAACTACTTTTTGTTGAGTAGCGAAGGGTAGAGGTCGGTAATGCAAAATATAGTCTAAAATTGAATTGAAAAATTGAATTGAAAATTGAATAAGACAGAACTTCATTGTTTTTTGTTTTGTGAAATATCGCTAAATTTCGCGTGTTTTGTTTCTTCGAAAGAACTGAATTTGTTAGTAGTCAAGTAACGGCCGAGTCAATTCAAAAAATGTTTATATTGAGTTCATTGGTAGAGACAAATCGGCCATATCTTTCTGTGTTTCGGTATCGCCGTCCATGAACCAGCCAAGAACAAAGGTCAAATTTGGCTTCAAAATTTTACATGGACGTGGATCATCTTGTTAGCATAATCGAGGCCCAAACTTACTTTCACAGGAATGCTCTCGCTCCGTTAGTGAAGAGTTTGGTGGGACAGAACATCGATGATTTTCTGTCGGCCGTCGATGCAGCACTGGCGTGCTGCAGCATGATTTTGAAGAAAATTGACAAGAAGAAGGATCGTACTACCGTGCTCAATCACAAGCACCAATTGCTTGAAGAATTGAATAGGTAAGAGTACCCATTTATGAAAACGAGTAGTGTACCTATGACATCACAGGACGAGTAATTTTTACTGGCGGTGTTTTAAGGAAGTATGCCATTTTCTAATTTGTATTAACCACTAGCATCTACCCGCGGCTCCGCTCGTGTTGAAGCCCTTAAATGAACATCAAAGATCACATTCCAATAGAACTGAATTAATGGCATTCAGTATTCAAAAATACCTACATACAATGAAGTTTCAAAAACTGAAAACATTCTTTATTGGAATAATTTACTACAACAAAAGTTGAAATGTATTTCACTACACCAAAAATAAGTTATTTGATGCGCCCTGTTTGTGATTGGACCAACGAGGGTTATAATTTTCAATTCGCGATAGAAAATAATCGTACGCCACCTATCGGAGTTTTTGAAAGCTGTCAAAGCGGCCTGTTCACTTTCTTTTCATTGGTACGCATTTGTTTGTGCTTATTGGTTATACTGAGAAAACATACCGCTCAGAAGTGTTCTACTTGTTGCCGTCAGATGGGGCGACGTGATATTTTCTATCGCGATTCTCACCAAATGTGTTTCCCAAAAGAGGGTAAAATGCAGATTACATTTTCTTAAGCAGCCATTGTCGCTGCGACATGTTGTGTTGAAGTGAACTTGGGAAACACATTTTAATATGTTTGTACCATATTTAACCATAATGTCGATATTTTCAAAACTGGACCAGAGATATTTTTATGGACAAATTTCCTTATTGTAAACTGATGATTATGCACTGATGATGACTTAACAGTCGAAAGTGCTCTGCTACAAGTAATAAATTTGAATAAATTATCTTGCACGAAATACTTCCCTTCATTGGTATATATACACGTGCACTTAGCTAAGTAACCCTCAGTATTGAATCGTGCATCTTGGTTGCGCAGAAGACTAAAGCGGCAATGTCATTCATGGTCAAGTCACTGAATAGCAAAACATCTGAAGGGTATCTCCCATGCAGTAATAAATTCGCGCCTTCGTAGTGCCCACCTGATGTTTGGTTAGATATTTGTAATTTTAATTTAATCATCTAAATAATCGAAAACTTACAAGTCCCAACAGACGTATTCTAATAATTAATATTTAAAGTACCGACGTATAGAGTTTCATGTCTGATTGTTAGATATATTGTGTTCAACAATCATGTCTGCCAAAATATTTTTTTTACCCGTCTTAATTTTTCTTCTTTTTTCTTTCAATAAAAAGATTCCTATGTCCTTCCTAATACATCTATGAATATGTATACAAAATTTCATGATAATCGGTTGAGTAGTTTTGTCGTAAAAGCCCGACAAACAAACTTACATTCACATTTATAATACTATTAGTAGGGATAATTTAGAACCGTTCTCCAACCTTCTGTTTCGTCATGTTTTGGATTGAACTGTGATCCCTTTTCGCCCCATGATGAAGCTAAGTTTAATCACTCACTTTGGCCACATGGCGTTAAGAAGATAAGCGTGAAATAGTAACTTTTGTTTCTCGCTGTATATTGTCATCAGCTTTTATTATTTGGAACTCAAATTCAGGTTATCATTTCGAAATATCAATCTACGATTTGGATTAACAGGTTGATCAATTTCGCTATTGTTTTTGCTGGCCAGTGTTTTGCCGTTGAGTGTGTAATGTGATTCCTGATTCCTTTCATTCCATCAAGAAATAAAAATCTCAATTTGAATTGAAATCAAATGGGATATTTTATTTCACCATTTTAAAATTGACATGTTCAAGATTTTTTTTTTTAATATTTTTGATATGAGATGTAGAAATAAGTTGTTTTTGACAAAATCACGATTCTATTGTAGGTGCGAGGATGTAGCACTGGTGCTTCATTTAGCAATACTGGCTATTTTCACTTCAGCAACACAATGCATGTTGCATTGCAGTGGAAGACATGTTGCTGGGGTGCTGTCTTTTTTGAAACAGTATTTGAGCGAAGAACAAGCTGAAGAGCTAACTTCATACCATGGTGAGTTGAACAATCATTATTATTCAGGGTGTATATAAGTAACACCGAAAAAAATTTTGGGGTGATTCTATGATGAAAATCAAGGTATATAAGGCCTTATTCTTGAAAATCGAGCATACTGTCTCAAATATAAACGAAAATGGAACCTTCAGTAAATTACAGTTCGGGACTAATACGTCACGGCTCCACCTTCATATTTGGCTTTATGAAATATCTAATGGAATATGCTGATTTCAAAAAGCTACAGATTCAACTTCAACTTATAATATTGATTGTACATTAAATGTCAATCATGATTCATCGATTGAAACAGGTTTGGACGGATTTCATCCCTCAGTGATCTTCCCCATTGGTTACTTTTCACCAATATATCAAAACACATCATCCAAATATAAAATTTAAACAATTATACAGTGTGTCCCACTTACCATGCTCACCATGGGTATCTTTTTAACGGTGAGAGATACGAGGTCAGTTGAATGACACCAAATTTGGAGTTTGTCAAGGCCAACTATAATGTGAAAAAATATTTTGATAAAATCTATTCGTTTTTGTTTTGTACGCAAAAAACAGATTTTGATCATTTTCATGTCTCCTCCGTAACTTCTTTATTCATGAAAATATACAAATAGGAATTTCACACTCTTATGGCAGTTTTTCAAAGTGATTTCGAAAAAAATATAAAATTTATACCAACTCTCCTAGAATTTGAGATATCTGCATCAACTTTAGTTTTTCAAATGTGGGTCATAGCTCACTATGTTACAAATAACTTTTTTTTCTCTCACAGATGATATGTCGCAGTAGTAGTTTTGTGTTGATAACAACGGAGTTATCGTCATTTATACAAAAACAAAAAATTATTTGGAAGCTGCCATCTTGAATTTATAAATTTTAACAAAAAAATCATGATCTCCGACCTCAAAAACCCCCACTTACCAATTTTGAATGGAATCGGACCAAATCTTGTTCGCCATCTTGGAGCAGCCATTTTTTTAATTTCAACAAAAATTCCATAATGTATTGTCACCGAAATTATGAACACCTGCCAAATTTCAAGTTAATCGGAGTTAAGGAATTTTTGTTGAAATTAAAAAAAATGGCTGCTCCAAGATGGCGGACAACATTTGGTCCGATTCCATTCAAAATTGGTAAGTGGGGGTTTTTGAGGTCGGAGATCATGATTTTTTTGTTAAAATTTATAAATTCAAGATGGTGGCTTCCAAATAATTTTTTGTTTTTGTATAAATGACGATAACTCCGTTGTTATCAACACAAAACTATTACTGCGACATATCATCTGTAAGAGAAAAAAAAGTTATTTGTAACTAAATCATAGTGAGTTATGACCTACATTCGAAAAACTAAAGTTGGTGCTGATATCTCAAATTCTTGAAGAGTTGGTATAAATTTCATATTTTTTTTCGAAATCACTTCGAAAAACTGCCATGAGAATGTGAAATTCCTATTTGAATATTTTCATAAATAAAGAAGTTACGGAGGAGACATGAAAATGATCAAAATCTGTGTTTTGCGTACAAAACAAAAACGAATAGATTTTATCAAAATATTTTTTCACATTATAGTTAGCCTTGACAAACTCCACATTTGGTGTCATTTAACCGACCTCGTATCTCTCACCGTTAAAAAGATACCCATGGTGAGCATGGTAAGTGGGACACACTGTATACTGAATGAATCTGTTTTTCAAGACTTTGTGACGTTGATGCTGGGAGGTGGAAGTGAAGTGGAAAGCGCCAAGGAAAAATTGAAGGAAAAAATTCCCGCTGTCAAGAATATCGCCAACGAGTACAAAAAACCCGGAATTGAGAAATCCTGAGGCAATAAAAATCTCCGAGTCGACGTTCATGGAAAATCATAAAAAAAACTCACTGTGATACAGATTATTGGAGTTGAAAGTATGATTTCTTTAAAGGTTTGTGGTGTGAAAAACAATATGTGTATACTAATATTTATGATTGTATGATATGAATAAAACAAAATAAAAGAAGATTTCCAGATTATTCTGTGAATTAATATCAAATCTTTGAAATCAGCTGGAGCAACAAGTGTAAAAAATTAGAAGGATTTTCATTGAAAAATGTATTCATTTTTTTCTAGCAGTTTTCAAGGTCATGAGATGACGTTGCGATGACATTAAAACAGGAAAACATGTCTTACTCTCAATCTTAAACAAAATATCAAAAATCTACCTCTTATTGTTTTGTTGGTAAATTTGAATGAAATCTTCCCCACTGAGGAGGAAATTCGACGAAATTAAAGATATAAGAGTACTGTTGTATTCATGCCAATTTTTTTAAAGGAAATGTCTGCAGTAGGCTTTATACTGACTGCTGCAGGTGGTTTGAATTATTCCACAATATGAATTATATACATACCAAGCTTAAATGAAGTGGGTGCATATAATAGAAGACAAAAAAAAAAACAAAACGAAATGGAAGAGATTTTTTTTTTCAAGAAAAAATTTGTCAATTGAAAGATTTTAAACGTTGACAGAGGTCAACAGCCGAGCCCAAGGCCCACGAATTTGCTTTCAGTGAGGCCTGAAGAATCTGAAGTAAAAATGACTTGGGCAATGTTATTCCGGACGTTAAATATTATTTGAAAGATGTGTCATTATGTCTTATATTCCATTAAATTTAGGATGAGTGCAAATGAATTTTAATTGCAATTTCGAACTCTTCGAAATTCTTGACTGATACAATCTAATCTTCTACGTTTTTTTGATACAACCTATTTTCAGATATAATGCAAATTACTCAAGTAGCACATTGTATATAGATTGAAAAAATGTATGCAAGTAGGTAAGTTTACTCCTAATCAGTTTGAGTGTTATTGGAAAATACTCTTATCTGGATCAATTTTATCTCCTTCTAAACTTTGAAGATCGTGATCGATCTTTCTATGCTGATTAGTTTTTAAATATGTTCAATACACATACAGATATCGAAAGATTGAACGAATTAGGATCCGAGCCTTTTTCATAACTTTCCTAACCTACATAGTCGTCGATTTCTGCTATGCTTTCTGAAATTCAATTGTGGCTTTCTGAAATGCAATTGTTGCTTTCTGAAATTCAAATGATATTTTCTGAAATACAAATGACGCTTTCTGAAATTCAATCGACTATTCTGAAATACAATTGACACTTTCTAAAATACAAGTGACTATTCTGAAATACAATTGACCATTTCTGAAGTTAAATTGACTATTCTGAAATACAATTGATGCTTTCTGAAATTGATTTGACTATACTGAAATACAATTGACGCTTTCTGAAATCAAATTGGCTATTCTGAAATACAATTGACGCTTTCTGAAATATAATTGACTATTCTGAAAAACAATTGACGCTTTCTGTAATTGAATTGACGCTTTCTGAAATACTTCTGGAGAAGGTGTCGAATAATTCAAAAGTTTTTGTGCACTCCTCTGTACGGCGTGAATTCGACTACACCTTTTCCAGATGTATTTCAGGAAGCGTCAGTTCAATTTCAGAATAGTCACTTGTATTTCAGAAAGCGTCAATTGTATTTCAGAATAGTCAATTCAATTTCAGAAAGAATCAATTGTATTCCAGAAAAGTCAATTCAATTTCAGAAAGCATCAATTGTATTTCAGAATAGTAATTGAATTTCAGAAAGTGTCAATTGTATTTCAGAAAGTATCATTTGAATTTCAGAAAGCGTCAATTGTATTTCAGAATAGTCAATTCGATTTCAGAAAGCATCAAATGTATTTCAGAATAGTCACTTGTATTTCAGAAAGCATCAATTGTATTTCAGAATAGTCAATTCAATTTCAGAAAGAGTCAATTGTATTCCAGAAAAGTCAATTCAATTTCAGAAAGCATCAATTGTATTTCAGAATAGTCAATTGAATTTCAGAAAGTGTCAATTGTATTTCAGAAAGTATCATTTGAATTTCAGAAAGTGTCAATTGTATTTCAGAAAGTATCATTTGAATTTCAGAAAGCGTCAATGCAATTTCAGAAAGCGTCATTTGTATTTCAGAATAGTCAATTGCATTTCAGAAATCGTTCTCTATAGACTGAAAGCCAGCGACCACCAGACCTCATTACAACAAGGTCGATATTTTTTATGAGTGTTATACCTTATTCGGTGGAATCGTTTTGGGGGTTAAAAATCTTCAGTACCGGATGGACTTTCAAGACATACCGGGTGTTGAAAGTACAAAAAAAAACTGTCGAAAACATCATTTCAACAAAAGCTGATCTTTTTATGTTCAATCGGACCCTATCATGAAAGAGAATATACAATTGCCAGACACTTTCCACGGGGTGTACTCCTGCCAAACAACTTTAAAAATCGTGAAAGTATCATAACAATAGAAATAAGTTTATCTCTGATGGTCCCCTATACCTGAAATTCTGTAATCTGTTCGTCAAATAGTATACAGTCTGTCCAAGATAAGGTTGCACAGCATGGGGATCTCGGAAACGGTAGGAGATACGAAGTCGGTTAAATGGGGAAAAAGTTGCGCATTCGGAGGCTCATACCAACAGCCTTCGAAAATTTTCAAAATTGTCTTTAGTTCTTCAGTTCTATCGAGAAAAGTGAATTTTTGGAATCTCTATTTTATTTTTTTTCTCCGTTATTATTAGAGATACAGGAAAACTGAAAATACTTTTTCATAGCAACTTTTGATGACGTTTAACGTGGTGATACCGATTTATCTATGCGACGTTTCGTATTCGTAGAATCATCATCAACTTTTGTTTTTTAAATACGGCCCTGATAATTCTTTCACAGATTCTGAAAGCTTTTTTTATTCTGAATTCAACCATGTATTATAAAAGGTGGTTTGAATGTGTTTCGAACTATTTTTAGCCATCATCAATGTTTTTTTCGAAATTCCAAAGGAAAAATGCCATCAGTTTCACTTATTTCTAATTATTCAGTGTCAAACATTGATGGACTAGTTATTCAATACTGAAAAGTGAAAAAAAAATCCACTAAATTATTCAATGCAGCGCTTCGAATTGTTTATGAATTGTATTCATATTTTAATCCAAAGGGGCTTGTCATAATTAAATTTTTCGAACTAATTATTCCTATAAGTCTATTAATCGGAACTAGTTGATGAGGTATTAGTTTGTTGGCTAATTTTCCTTCAAAATAAGTGGAACTGATGGCATTTTTCCTTTGGAATTTCGAAAAAAAACATTGATGATGGCTAAAAATAGTTCGAAACACATTCAAACCACCTTTTATAATACATGGTTGAATTCAGAATAAAAAAAGCTTTCAGAATCTGTGAAAGAATTATCAGAGCCGTATTTAAAAAACAAAAGTTGATGATGGTTCTACGAATACGAAACGTTGCATAGAAAAATCGGTATCACCACGTTAAACGTCATGAAAAGTTGCTACGAAAAAGTATTTTCAGTTTTCCTGTATCTCTAATAATAACGGAGAAAAAAAAATAAAATAGAGATTCCAAAAATTCACTTTTTTCGATATAACTGAAAAACTAAAAAAAAATTTGAAAATTTTCGAAGGCTGTTGGTATGTGCCTCCGAATGCGCAACTTTTTCCCCATTTAACCGACTTCGTATCTCCTACCGTTTCCGAGATCCCCATGCTGTGCAACCTTATATTGGACAGACTGTATATGGTACCTAAAGCGTTGATTGATATATTATAAGCGTAATATATCAATCAACGCCTAAAGGTACCTAAAAGAGGAATTTGGGGTGATTAAATTGGAAACATCACTAACTAATCGATCTTAATTCTTTCTAAAATTCAATTGACGCTTTCTGAAATTCTAATGATATTTTCTGAAATACAAATGACGCTTTCTGAAATTCAATTGACGCTTCCTGAAATACAAGTGACTATTCTGAAATACAATTGACCCTTTCTGAAATTAAATTGACTATTCTGAAATACAATTGATGCTTTCTGAAATTCAATTGACTATTCTGAAATACAATTGATGCTTCCTGAAATCGAGTTGACTGTTCTGAAATACAATTGACGCTTTCTGAAATTGAATTGACTATTCTGAAATACAATTGATGCTTTCTGAAATCGAATTGACTGTTCTGAAATACAATTGACGCTTTCTGAAATTGAATTGACGCTTTCTGAAATACATCTGGAAAAGGTGTAGTGTGTACAACCTCATCATATTGCGTGACCCCCAATAGACGTTATCGTAGAAGTGGAATATTGTTTTAGTTTGTTATGTTGTTCAAAATTTGTATTTGTTCACTCATTGAAATGTACTTGACATTATCAAACTATTGACAACAATTTGTTATCTAAAAATGCGTAAAATCTCTATCGACGCCACATCTAGAAAGATAAAAACCTCATACGTGAGCATCATCCACTCGAACCCCCAGTATAAGAATCCACCAATCTCCCATCCCGGACAAACCAAAATGTTCTCCGTCAAACTAGCATTCGCGGTGATCGCAGCAGTCTACGCTGCAGCTTCGGCCTTCCCGGCCAACGAGACTCTGGAGGTGGGCGCCAGCTGCACCATCACCAGCTTCGGTCAGGTCAGCTCGGTGCTGAACAGCTGCTCCAACATCGTGATCTCCGGACTGAGCGTGCCCGGAGGCAAGACTCTGGAGCTGAAGCTGAAGTCCGGGTCGACTGTCACTTTCCAGGGAAAGACCGTTTTCGGAGTGGCGCATTGGGATGGGCCTCTGCTCGAGATCATCGGTAGCAAGGTCACTGTCAAGGGAGCCTCAGGTGAGATCTGCTCATTTTAGATCCGCCATTTTGAATTATTTTGACGAAGGAATCATAATCTCCGATATTGAAAACCCCCAGTTACCAATTTTGATGGAAGCTGACCATCTGACGACAAAAGTCGTCCGCCATCTTGAATTCGAAAATTTGGACGAAAGAGTTATAATCTCCGACCCCGAAAACCCCCAGATACCGATTTTGAATAGAATCGGATCATAATTACAAAACTTGTTCGCCATATTGGATCCGTCATTTTGAATTTCCAAATTTTGACGGAAGAATAATAATCTCCGATCCCAAAAACTCCCAGATACAAATTTTGAATAGAATCGGATCATAATTAAAAAACTCGTCCGTCATATTGGATCCTCCATTTTGAATTTCATAAAATCTCCGACCCCGAAAACCCCCAGATACCAATTTTGAATAGAATCAGGCCATAATTGAAAAACTTGTTCGCCATATTGGATCCGCCATTTTGAATTTCCTATTTTTGACGAATAAATCATAATCTTCGACTCCAAAAACCCCCAGATACCGAGTTTGAATAGAATCTGTACATAATTAAAAAGCTCGTCCGTAATATTGGATCCTCCATTTTGAATTTCATAATTTTGACGAATGAATCATAATCTCCGACCCCGAAAACCCCCAGATACCAATTTTGAATAGAATCAGACCATAATTGAAAAACTTGTTCGCCATATTGGATCCGCCATTTTGAATTTCCTATTTTTGACGAATAAATCATAATCTTCGACTCCAAAAACCCCCAGATACCAAGTTTGAATAGAATCTGTACATAATTAAAAAGCTCGTCCGTCATATTGGTTCCTCCATTTTGAATTTCATAATTTTGACGAATAAATCATAATCTCCGACCCCGAAAACCCCGTTTGAAAAACTCGAGGAAAGTCACTACCAAAAGTTCCGAATAAAAAAAACATTTTTAGCCACCCTGTATAATTTGAGGGCATGAAAATTCTACAGAAATATCACGCATCTTTCCATCAAATAATATTGTGAATACAGGTATTTTTCCGGTATGGATCTGCAGAATGCATTATTTCGACAAAAAAATTAATAACTTTCGGATGGTCGAGTAATAGGTAGTCAACAATATTATAGGAGTGGATGGAGGTCACAGGAATGCTTCAAAAAATTTGCTAATATATAGGGCATTCCATTTAAAAAAAGTGATCCTGACCCTCTAGATTTTTTCCGATGCCCCCTGTATATGCGGCAATAATTTCTAGTTACGGACCTTGTTGTCTCATTGACATTCGTTTTTTGAATTTAAATTGATATTTTCTGAATTCCAATTGACTAATCTGAATTTCAACTGACACTATCTGAATTACAAATGACGTAGTCTGAATTACAATTGACCCGTTCTGAACTACAAATGATACATTCTGAATCACAAATGACACTTTCTCTGAATTATAATTGCCGCTTTCTGAATTTCACTAATCTGAATAACATTTGATATTTTCTGCATTTCTATTAACTAATCTGAATTACAAATGATATTGTCCGAATTACACTTGCTGTTTCCTGAATTACAATTGGAAAAGGTGTAGAACAATTAATTACTTACTGTTTGTGATTTTTTTTATTACAAGACTTGTACTTCTGATACCACCAGGAATTCGCGTATAAAAATAACGATTTTTCACACATAAATAATTTCTATGCGTACTAACCACCGCATAGTTTGACAGGTAATTGGATTGCCTAATTACAATTGGGAAAGGTGTAGACGTCATATTGATTTCAACCAGAGTTGGATCTCCTAATTCGGATTTTTTCGTTCGTCAGGTCACGTTCTCGATGGTCAGGGCCCCAAATACTGGGACGGCAAAGGCGATGGTGGAGTCAAGAAACCCAAATTCGTCAAGGTCAGGGCCACCGGAGGATCAGTCCTGACCGGTCTACATGTCTTGAACTGTCCACGACAATGTGTGTCTGTCAACAGCTGCGACCACGTGACAATCGACGGCTGGAACGTTGATGTTTCTGCTGGAGACAAGGTATGTGTACCTATATAATGGGGCAGTTTACAATATTGAGGTTTTCATCTCACTGTAAAGTTTGTGAAAATTTAATTTATACGTTGTCTTCTTTTTTTCTTATTGGCTTCTTCACCATTCCTATCACGTACTTTCTGAAAAGCCACATTCACACAGAGCACAGATTTGAAATACGGTTCCCTGTGTCAGTATGACGTTGACGATATCTAGAATGAAGTCTTTTTCATCACCAAATATCATATAGAAATCAATTCAGGATTTCATAACCGTATAAAAAAAAATTTGTTACGCTTCTGAAGTCTGAGAGGGTCTGAAATCTGGGATCATAAAACAGGAATTCGAAATTTGTAAATTCTTGATGAAGATCTGGAATCTTGACTAGGAGCATACTCAATTTATTTTTATTGCGGTCTGAAATCTAAGAGTAAGTCATACCATTCAAAAAAATGTCGGAAATCAATCACTTTTTTACCAATCCAAAAAAAAACTAATTCTCACTGAAGAAGTAACAATTTTTTGAATGAATCTAGAAAATTTGAAATTTCTACAACCTACGACGATAAAGAACCATTATCATGACTTCAAGAGCATGCCCAATTATAGCACTGTTGGAATCGAAATCAATAACATCAGAATTGATGATGAATTGTCACTTCAAGAGCATGCCCAATTTTGTATTGTCTGAAATCTGATTCTTGTCGACAGAGCATCAATTTCCCAACTAATTTTTTCAGTTAACTTGTTATTTCTCTGTATTGAGAAAAAAATCTCGGTCAGAAAAAAATATGGTACTCCAATCTTCAAGTAATAGTTACTTATTCTCTACTATTGTTGTATTGCTTTCTTTCCGATCAACATAAATTTAGCTTTTGATACATTGATTTTTAGTAAATCCAGGCATGTATAGTTGAAAATTTCATCCAAAGCAGATTGTATTACAGATATTAATTTATATAGATCGTCCGCAAAAATATGAATATTGATGTTAATGCCCAGATTCATAATATCGTTGATGTACAACACGAAAAGTTATGGCCCTAATATACTGCCTTGGGGTACACCAAAATCATTTACCGCTTCTGCAGATGAAAAGCCATTAAAATTAACTTTTTGTTTCCTATATCGCAAGTAACTATTGAACCACATGAGAACACTCCCAGTCAACCCAATTTTCTTCAGTTTTTCAATCAACCCTCTCCTATCAATAGTTTCAAAGGCTCTTTGTAAATCAAGAAAAACCGCTAGTTTCGACTTGCCAAGCCTAATGCGACCACCTTTTCGAGGTCGTTCTGAAAAATCCAAAACCATATTTTTTCTTTCCAGAACAAACTTGGCCACAACACTGACGGATTCGACATATCCTCCACCAGCAATGTCGTCATCTCTAACACCGTAGTGAAGAATCAGGACGATTGCGTGGCTGTCAACAAGGCCCAGCACGTGACCATCTCGAAGCTGCAGTGCTCAGGCGGCCACGGTCTCAGTCTGTCCGTGGGCATGAGCAAATCGTCCAAGGCAGATAACACTGTGTCCGATGTCCATTTCTCTGATTGCACTGTCAGCAACTCTGACAACGGCATTCATATCAAGACGCATTCTGACGGAGGTCCTGGAGTCATCGACAACGTTTCCTACAAAAACATCAAATTGTCGGGTGAGAGAAGACTTCAATTGTTATTTGTGTAGCTAGTTCAAAACTGTATGGTAGTTGCATGATGTATGAATTTGGCAGCTCGAAAAGATGTCGATGTTAGGTCCAACAACCGGTTATCGTTGAGATTATTTTGGAACCATTGGCAGTACTCCAGGCGATATTTCAATTGGCGAAAGTTTTTGTAGTTAGTCCTCGATTAACCTACAGACAGTATATTTAACGTTCGAACAACTACTTGGGGCCTTCCTGTTGATTTTCTTTCATTAGCGTTTCCAGTATGGATGCGTCGATTCATCACTGTTATGATGTAGTTCTCCACAGAAGATTTTTGGGTTCGTTCATTAGGAAATCAGTCTTGCAAACCACTATACTGAGTATAGCGAAACCGAATGTACTTTCAATAATTCAACTTTTTGATTGACAAAACAATTATTCTGGCATTTCTGATGACAAGAAGGTCGCACCAACTCTCGATTTCTATTCCACTGCTGTGTGCTGGAACCGCACTTTATGGAAGAACCGAGTCAGTGCCACTTGTATTTGCTCTGTGCTAGTGCGCTCTGTAAATTGGCGAGTGGAAAACGCTATCAAACAATTATTGAAATCATCATCAGGAATATAGTTTTTTTGTTTTCCTACCGACTGCGCCACTTTAGAATTCGATCCAACCTAATTCTAATCGAACTCACTAACAACTAACCTCAGGAATCGCCAAATATGGAGTCAACATAAAGCAAGACTACGAGAAGGGCAAAAATAATTGCTAAATTCTCCAAGTAGAAGGCGACAATTGAAGAAAATCCCTATAATAACCATGTATATAATAAAACCCGAACTATCTCACTATCAGAAACTGTTTTCTCCTCAGAGGTCGGTAAATTCTCTCAAACAATCATTGAAATCATCAGGAGTATACTCACTTTTTTCGTTTTCCTACCGATTGCGTCACTTTAGAATTCGATCCAACCTAATTCTAATCGAACTCACTAACAACTAACCTCAGGAATCGCCAAATATGGAGTCAACATGAAGCAAGACTACGAAAAGGGCAAAAATAACTGCTGAATTCTCCAAGTAGAAGGCGACAATTGAAGAAAATCCCTTTAATAACCATGTAATAATACCCGAACTAGATCACTATCTCACTATCAAAAACTGTTTTCTTCTCAGAGGTCGGTAAATTCTCTCAAACAGTCATCGAAATCATCAGGAGTATCCTTTTTTCGTTCTCCTACCGACTACGCCACTTTAGAATTCGATCCAACCTAATTCTAATCGAACTCACTAACAACTGACCTTCTCAGGAATCGCCAAATCGCCAGGAATTGTCAAATATGGAGTTAACATAAAGCAAGACTACGAGAAGGGCAAACATAAGTAATTGCTAAACTCTTCAAGTAGAAGGCGACAATTGAAGAAAATCCCTATAATAACCATGCATATAATAAAACCCGAACTAGATCACTATCTCACTATCAGAGACTGTTTTCTCCGTAGAGGTCGGTGAATTCTCTCAAACAATTATCGAAATCATCAGGAGTATACTTTTTTCGTTCTCCTACCGACTGCGCCACTTTAAAATTGGATCCAACCTAGTTCTAACGAACTCACTAACAACTGACCTTCTCAGGAATCGCCAAATACGGAGTCAACATCGAGCAAGACTACGAGAAAGGCCATCCCACCGGCACTCCCAAGGCCAACATCCCGATCACCGGACTGAGCATCACCGGAGTGTCCGGATCGATGACCGGAAAGAACTCCAAGGCTGTGTACATTCTGTGCGCCAAAGGGGGTTGCTCGAACTGGTCATGGGGTGTCAACATCTCAGGGGCTCACAAGCAGAGCAATTGCACCATGCAGCCCTCTAACGTCAAATGTTGATTGAATCTTTGTTTTTAGTTGGTACTTAGATTAATATATTTTGTTTATAGCATGTAGTTGACTGTTTTTAATTTCTTATCTTGCCGAATTAGCAGGTAGATTCACTTTGTTGGAGAGTAGTGAGATGAAAATCAAATTATATTGAATTGGAACATGAGAATAATTGGGGATCAGAAGTTGTGCTGGTTGAATGATCAAGATTTCCAAGTAGAAATTAAGGAATTTCACATCAAAACTTATTCATATCCCTATTCATCCAGCTAGCAAGTAGACCTCAATAGGAATAAATAATCCAATAATTATGATTTGACGTTTATCGACGAGCTATTTCATCCTTGACTGCCTATCAACAGAACAATTACATTCTATAAAAAGATGATTTTTCTGTGACGGGAAAAAAGTTTGGCTTTTCATCTCTGTTGGCAGGTTATAAAATGTTACTTTTCATAAATTACTTTTTTCCCGGATATATATCACATATATATATATCACATATATATATATACACTGTTGATGGCTTTTGTTGTGCAATAGTTCCGAGAAATGAGTCAATAATACCGTCTCCGAGAAAGAACTGCAAGTCCTTTTATCTTCCATTCGACTTCGCGGTTACGTATATTACTAAACAACCACCAAATTCGCAATTTTTTGAAATCAAATCACAGAATTAGACTGACAGAAGTGACATCAGATATTTGATTACTTCAAAAGAATGATAAAGATGCCTACAACGCAGGTGTCCCTACTGTTAAAAACTTAAAATTTCATTTTCAGATTTCAAAGTAATGTAATATCTTCTCAATATTGATTCGTCCTTTCTTCTGTCACAGAAAAAAATAGTGTATTATACACGGGAAAAGTAGTAGATTTTAGCTCACGGGTTTTTGTCTCAACACAACCTCTGGAGCTAAAATCTACTACTTTTTTCCCTTGTATAATAAATAACTATTATTTTTTTCAAGCGGTTTTCAAGGTCATTAGATGACGTTGCGATGACATTAAAAACTACAGGAAAACATGTCTAACTCTCAATCTTAAACAAAGTATCAAAAATCTACCTCTTATTGTTTTGTTGGTAAATTTGAATGAAATCTTCCCCACTGACGAAAGAATTCGACGAAATTGAAGACATAAGAGAACCGTTGTACTCATATGCCAAGTTTTTTAAAGGAAATGTCTGCAGTATCCTTTATTCTGACTGCTGCAGGTGGTTTGAATCATTCCACCATATGAATTATATACATACCAACCCTATCTAGAATAATTCAAAAGTTACAATCCTGGCCGTTTTTTGTGCACTCCTCTGTATGGCGTGAATTCGACCAGTGTGTACAACCTCATCATATTGCGTGACCACCAATAAAAGTTATCGTAGAAGTGGAATATTGTGTTAGTTTGTTATGTTGTTCAAAATTTGTATTTGTTCACTCATTGAAATGTACTTGACATTATCAAACTATTGACAACAGTTTCTTATCGGAAAATGCGTGAAATCTCTATCGACGCCACATCTGAAAAGATAAAAACCTCATACGTGAGCATCACCCACTCGAACCCCCGGTATAAGAGTCCACCAATCTCCCAACCCGGACAATCCAAAATGTTCTCCGTCAAACTAGCATTCGCGGTGATCGCAGCAGTCTACGCTGCAGCTTCGGCCTTCCCGGCCAACGAGACTCTGGAGGTGGGCGCCAGCTGCACCATCACCAGCTTCGGTCAGGTCAGCTCGGTGCTGAACAGCTGTTCCAACATCGTGATCTCCGGACTGAGCGTGCCCGGAGGCAAGACTCTGGAGCTGAAGCTGAAGTCCGGGTCGACTGTCACTTTCCAGGGAAAGACCGTTTTCGGAGTGGCGCATTGGGATGGGCCTCTGCTCGAGATCATCGGTAGCAAGGTCACTGTCAAGGGAGCCTCAGGTGAGATCTGCTCATATTAGGTCCGCTATTTTGAATTTCCTGATTTTGACGAAGGAATATCATAATCTCCGACCTCTGGAAAACCCCCAGTTACCAATTTTGATAGAATCTGACCATCTGACGACGAAAGTCGTCCGCCATATTGGATCCGCCATATTTCAAAATTTTGACGAATGAATTATAATCTTCGACCCCGAAAACCCCCAGATACCGATTTTGAATAGAATTGGATCATAATTACTGAACTCGTCTGCCATATTGGATCCGCCATCTATAATTTCCAAATTTTGACAAAAGAAAAATAATATCCGATCCCAAAAACCCCCAGATACAAATTTTGAATGGAATCTGATCATAAATTAAAAAATGCTCGTCCGCCATATGGGATCCGCCATCTCGAATTTCCAAATGTTGACAAAAGAATCATAATCTCCGACTCCGAAAACCTTCAGATACCAATTTTGAATAGAATCTGTACATAATTAAAAAACTCGTCCGCCATATTGGATCCGCCATTTTGAATTTCCAAATTTTGTCGAAAGAATCATAATCTCCGACTCAGAAAACTACCAGATACCAATTTTTAATAGAATCTGTACATAATTAAAAAACTCTTCCGCCATATTGGATCCGCCATCTTAAATTTTCGATTCAAATTAAATTAAATTTAAATTGATCACGACCGATTCTCATACCTACCGAATACGCACAAACATTTTCATACGAATCGGTCGAGCCGTTTCGGAGGAGTTTGGAATTTTTTATATTAGATTTATTTATGTATTTATGTACATACTATTGGTAACATAAAACTCATTTTGTCTCATCACATCAAATTAAATCAGAAAAAAATAAAAACGAAATCGCGGATATCCGGTTTTTCCAAATATGTTCGGAAGTATCCAGACTCTCCAAACTTTCAAGGAGACATGTTGATCACCGAGATCCCAATGATACCTCTCGAATTTAGGTCACTCTGTACATATTTTCATGGACGATGCTCTTCTGAAATAT